AACGATGGGAGGCGGGTGAATAAATAAAATACACCATAATAATAAAAAAACATATCGGTGAACTCAGTGTTTTTCACTTTTAGTGATATGTTTCGTTGCACCAGTAGATGGAGCAATAACCTTTAATTACAATTTGTACAGACCTTGAAAATTCAGGTTTGTGGTGATCCACCACAAAAAAGCCTACATGTGGTAAACAGACGCACACACACGTTTTTTCCTCTATCACGACATTTCATTGACATAGATAAATAGAAAGAGTGCAGTACTGTGTACAGATCTTGTTTATTATGTTTATAGGTCAGAACTACATGAACACATGTGCACTGATATGTATGGAAAGGTTGATGAGTGGGTTGTTGTACTTTTTAAGTGCTATAGTGTTTAAGTAATGACAAATTGCATTTCTAAACTAGCTAGCATGTGTGGTAAAATTACTTGCTTTGTAGTGTTAGCTGCCTAAAGCAGCCAACTGTATGACTGACATGTTCTGCTCCTGTTCAGATAATAAACGGCTGCATTTAGAGATAAACGCGCTCTGTACTCATCATTCTACACACAATGCAAAGAGTCAAAGGGTTGCTTGAACCAGCCAGTTACAGTGAAGTGTAGCTGAGCGCAGATAACACAAGGAGCAAATTGCACATAGGCCTATTTGTTGTTATTTGTTAATCATTGTTGTTCTATATTTTTATATTTTGTCCATTTATATATTTATGTACACAATATTATCTTCTGTTGCAATACATCTGCACAACACAAACTGGAGTAATGCACATGTAAATATCCACCACCTTTTTCTTTCTCTCCAGATAGTCGTATTGTTTTTTTAATTATTTTATTATTCTCATATAAATTGCATTTGTTTATTCCATATTTATATATTTCTATAGTTATGTATGTCAACTGTATGTTTGTCTACATGTAGCACCTTATGACTAAAGCAAATTCCTCGTAAGTGTAAAACAGTACTTGGCAATAAAGCTCTTTCTGATTCTGAATCTGAAGTGATTAGAATAATAAGTAATAAGAGTCCCAGTTTAATAACCAGATACAGTATATTCAAGTGTTCACATACAATATGTTCAAGTGCCCTGGTAGTCCTGATGTGCAAAGAGTAGGGTGTTAAAGGGAATAAAGTCATAATACATTCCCTAGCCTGTTACCCCCTGGGTGCGTTCCGATTGCCCTGTAGTTCCCTGCTAAGTGGACTGCACAGGGTATTCAGCCATTTTAAGTGAGATTCCAAACCGCAGGGAGCACAACATGTTCACTTCAAAGGGCACTGTGAACCGTGTAGGGAAGAAGGGAACAACGGTCCATCAGTTCGCAGGAAGTTGACAAGAAAGATTTCCCATAAGCCTTTGCACCTCATAGGAGCTAACAATAGAGCAGACCACAGAGTTTGTATATCTGTAATTATTGTCGTTGTAACTAATGTTCTCATTATGTATATGATTATTTCAGAGGTTAGGTTGCCTAAAAACAACAATGCTCATATGACACTGACGTGTGCTTGATGATGTTGCAGGGTGTTCTTAATGGAAGAATTTTGTCAAGGGAAGTTTCCTTAACCGACATTCCCTGAGCAGGGAGCAGGGAGAACTGTTTATGTACACTGTGCATCGTCAAGTCTTAACCCTCAAAAACCAGCCTTTCTGTCGTTCTGACATAAGTCCCCATATACCTGCATTCACATTAAAGTCCCCACCAGGATATAAAAACATGAAGCACACATACACACCTTTCATTAGATTCACACTGAGGCATGCTTACAGGTATCATAATAATATTAATTTCAATGCTTTAAAATGTTTTGTTTGGGGAGTGTGAGTCGTTTCTCTGTGTTTGCTTTCATACTAGCAGGCATGTAAATGTTTTGAGGATTGCCATGGAAAACCACAGAAATGGGGGACACCCAGGCATGCTGGAACAACTTCAAGTTCGGCAAGGGAACTCCCATATACTTAGTCATACAAATGGTATCCAGCTGGATGTCATAGATCTGGAAGACTTTTTTCCACAAGAGTAGAGAGAGGGACTCGGCAACGTGGGTAAACATAGCTCATTGTCTCCATGGTAATCCAACGCCTGGTATCCATGTGAGGAAACATACACACTGAAACTAAATCAGTGATTTACGATCAAGAGTCAGGCCTCCAGGCTGCACAATAAAAACAAAAACAATCATTGCGGAAATTTGAAAGGAAAAAGTATTCCACCAATCTGGAAGAATCTTATTTATTAATCTGTAAACTTATAGAAAGGCCCTCTGTAATGCCAAAGCAGCGTAAAGGAACAAACCCAGGTTTCTTTTCAGCACTGTAGCTAGGCTGACAGAGAGTCACAGCTCTAATGAGCCATGTATACCTAGTAGTAACAACTTCATGAGATTCTTTAATGATTTAATTCTTATTTATAGAGACAGAAGTAATCACGTCCTGCCCTCAACTGGTACCGATTTATCTTCAAACTCAGGAACCTTGTTTCTTCATCCAAGCCATCAACCTCTCGGTCTCTCAATCCCCATCCCAACTAGGCTGGTTAAACAAGTTTTACTTTTAGTTAGCTTTACCATATATGATCAATCTGTCTTTGCTGACAGGCTACGAATCACACTCATTTAAAGTAGCTGTAATTACACACCTTCTAAAAAAGCCCACTTTTGGTCCAGGGATTTTAGCCAACTATAGACCTATATCTAACCTTCCCTTTCTCTCTAAGATCCTTGAGAAAGCAGTCGCCAAAAAAACAGCTGTGTGACTTTCTACATAACATAGTTTATAAACATAGAAATCCTCAAATAAACATAGCCTACATTTATTTGAGGATTTTCAGAGAGGATTTAACGTGCATCATAGCACAGAGACCACTGGTGAAAAATGACCATGTAATTGCATCAGGAGGACTTGTCTCTGTACTGTACTTGTCTGGTTAGATCTTAGTGCTGCATTCTATACCATTGACCATCACATCCTATTACAGAGAAGGGAAAATGAATAAGCTCTAAGCCGGTTTAAGTCCTATTTATTGTCATGCTCTTGGGTTCGCGATGTTATTTTGTTAATGTCCATTCCTGTTTTACTCTTTGCCTCTGTGTTCTTGTTTAGGATTGGTTAGTTGATCAGTGGTTCCTTGTTCTCTGTTGTATTTGGTTTCACATTTCCTTGTGTATTGTCAGTACCTATACGTCCTGTTTTATTTTGCAATCATTGGTGTTTGGTGTTCTTGTCTAGCTTTTTTTCTGTCTGACTAGATTCCTAATGTGTCTCACCTGTAACTAATTACCCTGCTTGTCTTCTAGACATACTATAAGTTACTGTTATCATTAAAATAAACCTGCAAAGTGTTCCTGCCTTGTTTAATATCTGCATTTGGGTCCACACCTCTGTTTCCCTGCTTTTGCACTCAGCCTTCCTAATATTTATCAGATCTCAGTTTGTTAATGATGAATCCTCTATGCACACCAAAGTTAAAAAGTTCACACAAGGATCTGCACTGGGACCAATCCTGTTCACTTTATATATGCTTCTTTTTGGCAATATTATCAGGAAACACTCCATAAACTTTCATTGTTATGCAGATGATTGGACTCCAATTATAGCTATCAATCAAGCCGGATGAAACCAATCATTTGGCTGAACTTCAAGTGTGCCTTCAGGATGTTAAAACCTGGATGACCTGCAATTTTCTGATCAGATAAAACTGAAGTTATTGTACTGGGGCCCAAACACCTCCGAGACACATTATCTAAAGATAGAGTTAATCTAGAGGCCATTGCCCTGGCCTCCAGCAGCATAGTGAGGAATCTTGGAGTTATCTTTGCTCAGGACACTCGTTTGTTTTTCACCTACGTGATATTGCAAAAATCAAGCACATCCTTCCTTGACATCCGTCAGAATGACGCATAAAAATTTCCATGCTGGATTACTGCAACTCTTTGCTATCGGGTTGCTTGAATAAGTCCCTTAAGACTCTCCAGCTGATCCAGAATGCTGCGGCGCGTGTACTGGCAAGAATCTGTTAAAGAGATCATGTTTCTCCTGCTTTAGCTTCTCTGCACTGAGAGTCTCCAAAAGTAGAATGGGAGCCAGAGCCTTCAGTTATCAAGCTTCTCTCCTGTGGGTTCAGGAGGCAGACACCATATCCAAATTTAAGAGTAGGCTTAAGACTTTCCTCTTTCATGAAGCTTATAGTTAGAGCTGGCTCAGATGACTCCTGAACATCCCTTAGTTATGCTGCCATAAATCTAGACTGCTGGGGGACTTCCCCTGATGCACTGGGCTCCTCTCTCTCTCTCCATCTATATGTAACCGTATCCCATTATTACATGTTACTAACTCCACTTCTTCCCTTTATTGCAGTTTTGTGCTTTCTTGTCCCTCTTTCCTCCTATCATTATCTGCAGGTGTTTCTGGCTCTGGAGCTCTGGAGTCTGGAACTGTGGTTACAAGTTGCCTACTGCCTCATGTTCCTGCCCGACATTCTTTGCTACAATTATTATTACTAGCTATATTATTATCATCAACATTACTATAATTATCAATACCATTATTCATTTTTGATCTCTACCACTACTATCATTAGTGTTTGTATTTTATGTGTGGATATTGTGTTGTCTGCTCCCCCACCCTGCTATCTCTCTCTCTCTTTCTCTCAGTCCCTCTCTTTCGCTCCCTCTCCCCCAAGTGGTCGAGTAGGTGGCCGCCTGAGTCACGGTTCAGTTCAAGTTTTCTCTACCTCCTTAGAGAGAGGTTTTTCTTTCCTCTGTCGCCAAGTGTTTGCTCATGTTGGGAATTGTTGGGTCTCTGTTAATAATATCATGTATAAAAAGTGCAATGAGATAACTTATTGGCACAAACATGTATGACAAATAGTGCACAGTTGGCACCATATAAATAAATTATATATGTAATATAAGATCAGTTATGGAAAGAAAAACAAGAAAATTAAGCCCATCCCTGTAATGTTAATCAAGTACAAAAACATGCAAAACCATGTAGAATACATTAAATTATCTTTATTAAAAATGACAAATGTAAAATGCATGATATGTTATAATGTTGTTAGAAAAATTTACACATTTTTAAATTATGCAACATATATTATGTGTTTATGTATGTAGTTAATGCTTGTAAATTAAATAAACTTAAGACTGTTAACGTATGTGCTTCTTCTGTTTCTCCTTCTTTTTAAATTACAAAGCTTCAAACACTAAATGTAAATGCATTACAGAATTATTGCTTTCTGGGTGCATATGTAAAAATGTAAATAAAGATTATATATTGCTTTATTAATTTTATTCTATTATAAATTTAAATATTTGTATATTTATATATATTCTGTGTGCATTACAACTTACATTGTGCAAACCTGTATTGTAAAATGACAAATGATTCTTTGATAGCAGATTACTCTTTAAACATCTATGTGGAGTTCTGCATGTCTACATAGCAGCTTCTGATGAGTGTTGCAGCAGTTGAGGTCACGTTAGGAGTCTTTGGCGTTATCCAGAGGGAGTGTGTCGACCCATTTCTGTGTGAGGGCTCGACACTGATCCCAGTTGTACAGAGGGCGGTATTGGAAGTGACGCATGGCTTTGTCTGTGCAGACAGTGAAGGAGGTACTGGCAACGGCCAAGGTGTAACGATTCAGCAACGGCGTGTAATTGTACACAGGGCTCAGTATCCAACGGAGCAGATCATTAACCATAGCCAAGAACCAGATCAGCAGTGAAGGCATGCGGACTCTTCGGAAGTTAAATTTGGAGAGAAACACCATGTTGAAATCCTCGTAGCTCTTGTAGGGTGAGTCATCGTAGCAGAAGAAAGCTTCACCTCTGACTGTCTGTGGGCGCTCTCTCAGGGCTCGGGCTGCAAGTATATGCATCCAGGCCACATTGCCTAGCAACACAAACAAGTGGGTGAATACCAGATTGAATGAGGGAAGAGATACTCAAAACATTTACCTTAGTGGAAATACTTAAGCAGTAAAATGTATGATTCCTTGAGCTCACCTCTTTGGAACTTTTGTTTTACAAAGTTGTTAACATTAACATTTGTTTTTAGAAACAGAATTTATGACATATCAAATATTGTATGAAGCTGAGAGGTAGATTTAAAATATAACTACTTTTAGGTAAGATTAAAAGTAGTCAGTCTGTAAATTGATTCCCGTCAGTGCCAAGTATTGATGAATTAACATGGATTGGGTATATGTTCATTTCATATCCCCAAATTTGGGGATTTTCATTATAGATAGATGGACACAATATTTGATTTGAACTCTGCTACATGTTCAGATAATTAAAAAAATATATTGTCTAATTCTGTCAAGTTAAATCAAGACATTCTTTTCCAGAGTTTCTGAAAAGTTAACGTTTTGGAGGAAAAACAGGTTTCCCCAATAGCAGCAGTGTTTTATGCCATTAACCAATGTTGAATATAAAATAATGAGCTCCACTTCAACTAGTGTTGTCAGATAAATCTAATGGTGTAAAAACAAAAAAAAAAACAGTATTACCCTGTCATCAAAGTTGTGTGTAATTATAACCTTTGAGTAAACGTGCTTTAGTTGTTTCACAACTCTGACCAAATCACACTGACATCATCTTTAACGTCAGCGGTTACAACAGTTAAGGTTTATCAAATGTGGAGTATTGTAAGTCTTGTTAAGTCCTGAAGAATATAATTGGGCACAACAGTTATGTAACATCTGTTAAGTTAGCACCCTTAACAGATGCTACAGAAATGGAGCATCTGTTATCCCACAAGCCACCAATATATGCTGGCTCATGCTTAAATGCAGTATTGGTTAATACTGATTTGGTCATAAGCAACAGGTGACTGAACAACAAAACAGCATGTTGTGCCTGATATAAAAACGTCATCACATCTGGCAGGAAATGTATTTAAGCAGTTGTTGAAGAGTCAGCTTAAGAGAGCAGCTGAGTTTTTAATTATCACAGAGGAAGTAGCTTTGCATGACAACTGTACTTCTGCTTTTACTTCTGGCGTGAACACAAGTCATCATGGTTTCATCATGGAACCACTGTCATGATCTCCTTTGCAGTTTGGTTTATGTGTGAGTTAAAGATACAACAAAAGGTTTGGTTGAGATTCTCAGGCTACATTGGGATCAGACGCGTCTTTCAAGTTAAGGTCATGACTAACAAAAAAAGTAATTTTACCTGCATAGACTCGTCCGTGTTCAATGTGGTCTGGGACACCCCCGATGACCAAGCCTCCTCTTTGTACAGCCAGCTTGTAGAAAGCCTTAATTATGTCGTGCCCCTCGCCATAGATCCCTGTCGGCCTCAGAGAGCATGTGTATAAACACTTTCCACCATTTACCTGCACAGGACACAAAACCAGGATTTGTGTGTTAGGAAATACAGAGGAGTGAAAGGGTAGATTTTTACAGATCTACACCACAGCAAGGACACAGAAATGGATGATCTGGCATTTTGTGGTTAAGTTGAACAAGAAATTCCCTCATACAATTTTTCTCAGGCTGGAGTCCAACCAAGCAAACAACAGTTACAAAACAAACATCTACAGCTTTGAGATTGTGTTACCCAGTCTAAAGCTTAAGATGAGGTTAAGATATTACACTATAGAATCTAAAATTCAGCAACATTGTACTCAGTAATAAACAATAATACACACTTCTGGATGCCAATAAACATGTATTCTATTCTGCATCTGCAACTTTCTTGAATTCCACTGCATCATTATGGTTTTATGATTATTATTTCAACACTGTTGTTTGCTTTTTTAGTTTTCTCGGTGTGCCTGTAAAATGTACTTTAATAAACCTCCCTCAGTGTGATTTGGCTCGAAAAATGTTACCACTCTGAAGAATGTAAATGCACAAATACGAGCTTAAAGAATTTTCTTCAACAAGGAAAACACAAGAAACAATAACCATTTGTGTGTGAAATTAATATTGTAAAACATAAAGTACCTTGGTGCCATTAGCTTCAAGCACGATTTTCTCTGCCTTTGACTTGCTCTTAGGATAAGCCATAGTGTGTTTCACAAGGTAAGGTGTGTCCTCATTGCCCCTGTAGAGAAAGAGTCAAACTGTCAGGGGACGCAGGAGAAAATAAGTACATGGTGTTTTTTGACCTTGCCACATGTATGAGAGGAATGTGTTTAGATGAGGTCAAATAAAGTGTAGCTCAGAGAGAAAACTTGCAGAGAGAGAGGGAAAACAGAAAATAAGATTAAATCAAACTCTAGGTGTATGTGTTCTGTCTCCTTGCATACTTTTTTCAGTTTTCATCTCAACTAATTAAAAAAACCTGTAATTTGAAATGCCTGGGCAAAACCTTACACTGTGTGAAATAACCTTGTGACGTGAGCACAGAGAAAGTCAAATTTGGTTCTGAGCTACAGCTGTGGCTATGTATGTGCAAACCCAGACACACACACACACACACACACACACACCCCATGTGGAGGAATGTTATGACCCTCGCTCATGACGGATGGATGCTGGAAGTTTGCCATTAAAAATTATTATGAACTTTTTATCTCCTGCTTTTGATCAACATCTTTTACCCTTTGTAAAGGATCATACCACCGTTTTTACATATTTTAATTCAGGTAGTACTAATCATGTATATTTTCATTTACCACACAGCTAACCATGTTTTACAGCATACCTTTAAATTTGACCTCTTTCTAGTAATTCCATAAATAGTTACATAATCAGATCAGTCTGTCAAACATTGCCTTTTTGATGGGCAAATATATAAAATTGTATTTCAAATTAGTTAATAATATGAATGTAAAGTATTTGTGGTAAATGGACTAATACATGTAAAGACACTAAAAGAGAGACTGTGAAGTAATCACAAAACTCTGACTCACACCATGAACACAGTGTTTGTCATCTCTGTTTTTGCCTTTGCAAGATTGTTTATGTCCCGGTTTCCAGTCCACTATTATTCATCTGGTTTCTCTTTCTATGTATGTAGGTTTCTCTTTCTATTTATGCCTGTAAATAGTATCACAGTGTCCCCTTTACCCCCACTAAATAAACCACAGATCTTGGAGACCTGTGAATTAATCATGTTGACACACTATCAGGAATGAATACAATGTTTGTCATCTCTGTTGTTTTTATCCTTGCACGATTATTTTTGTCGTTGTTCACACTATTATTCAGGGAAGAACAATGTGCTCCCCTAAATAATGCAGACATCACTGGAGACAGTCAATATTTACAATCACCAGTCTTCTAAATGTCTGCAACAGCGGACCACTGGTGCAGCAGTTACTGCCTTTCTTAGGTGGAAAGGTGGAAAATTGTAAATTTGTACATCCATGATTACAATTACTAATATGCCATGCCTATAGGTTTTTCCAACAGTGCACCAGTAGCATCTGCAATTTCACATTTCACTGAAAAATAGACACTTGTACTTGCTTATTTATGTTTTAGTTAATGAGTGACACTTAGCTGCAGGCCTATACTTTGCATACTGTCATGACAACTGGTAAAGCGTGTTTAAACTGCAGACATGTTGCTAGCTGCAGACACAATGCAAAACATTACTGTGAAGAACGCCTTCCAATCAATGTCTTATTCATTCCAGATAGTGTTTATCTAAACGGATTTAAAACACTCTTGAATAGACTACCAGGGTACTGGATACTGTGTGTTCTGTACTTTTTTCTCCACCTGATGATATCTTTTCTTTATAGGCCTCCAGTTTTCAATGATGGTGCATTCAAGAGAGAAACAATACAAGATAGTGACCACAGAAACGTAACTGAAGGAGCTAAAGCATTTCTGAAAATGTGAGTATAAAGTGTAAACATCTGTGCTGGTTGAGGAAAAACACTTGGACTTGCATACTTGGCCCCCTTGCTCAGCAGAATAAAATTGAACAGAGTTCAACAAGTAAACACAAAATGATATTATCTGAGTTTTACCTGATGAAATGGTCTCTGTTCATGTTGGGACCAATCACTTCCATGCTGCTGGTGTAGACCAGGCACTGGATGCCACACTCCACACAGGCACTGATTACATTCTTTGTTCCTGAGAAGAGAGAAAACATTGTCATGGAAGAGATGAAAGATGCTAAGATTGGATGGATCACACTGAATTCTGTTGGGTAACAGATCTGTTTTCAAAGCCCTATGATAGCTTTTGACATAGCTGGATTTCGTCAGAGACTCTGCAGAGTTGAGACAGCCAAATCTGAAAGTTTTAAATGCTCCTTTGTAAAGGTGAGTAAAAACAAAGTAAATACATGGTAACATACTGTACAGGATAAAAGTCTTGAAGTTACAATTGGACACGCAAGGCTAGGATGAACAGGAATTAATTTACAAACAGACAAGATATCAAGAGATCTGTGTTCTAGCTGAGAGTGGGATTCCTGTTATTATCACTTAAACCTGATCTCTATTAGCTCAATAGTGGATATGTGGTGGAAAGAAATATGGTCATTGCAAATGGGGGAAAGAAGACCTTTTACCATTATATTTAATAGTTTTTAAGATCTTTTTAGACTTCAAGTTGCCTGTGGTAAAAAATGGGTCAGTAAGGGAACAGAGGACAAGGGGACACGGTCCATAGTCAAGTTACATCTGGTCCTGTTTAGCAGAGAATGAAAAAAAGTCCAGATGAGTGTGATGTAATCTGTTTCAAGAGTGATAATTCATTGTGTAACTATTTTAACCATGCAGCAACCATGGAAAAAAAGATAATGCCACAGATTTTAAGCTATTCAACCAGACAGAAACAAACATCCACACCTATACAGAATTTGGATAATACAAAACTATATGAATGTGTGGCTTTGTCTGACATCTTACTGATTTATATTTGTTTCCTGCTAAATCAGATGACAAAATTTTGTGTGACTTCCAAGCAAACATTAAGAATCTACAGCCATGCTGGTGGTTGTTCTCCAGCTGCAGTAGCTCAGTCCGTAAGGATTAGCCTGGGAATGAGAGGGTTGCTGGTTCAAATCCAGCTTGGACCAGAGTTGCAGAGCCTGACACTGAGTTTCCCCTTGTGGGATTAAATAAAGTATGTCTTCTTCTAGGCACAGCAGTGCTTTAAGATAATTTTCAGCATGCTCACAATGACAATGCTAACATTTGCTAATTAGCACTAAACAACAAGTGCAGCTGAGGATGATGGGATTGTTATTAGCTAGGTCATAAACCAAAGTATTAGACAAACTGAAAATGTGACCTGGTGATGGAGCTTTATGAAAAGTCAGGGGATCAAAACAGTGATTGCAATTCATCATCTTGAAGGGGACGTGAATGTGAGATGTTTCACTAGATGAGCTGTGACCTGCTAGAGAAAAAGTCAGAGTCACTAGGATGCATCTTCTGTCTAATGCCTTGTGTTTTTACTGTTCCGCCTAGTTTGTTTTTGGGTTTAGTCCACTTGTCAGTGTGTTTTGTCCTGCATTTCTGCATTCTTGTCTTGGTATGTTTAGGTGTTTGTCTCGCGTCAAATTACAGTTTGTGTCTGTTCATTCCTTGTATCTGTGTCTAGCTTTGCTTCCTGTCCTGTTGTCTACCTTGATATCATCCACCTGTTTTATGTTCCCACCTGGCTCGTTTGCCCTAGTACTTAATGCCTGTAATCTGTTCAGTCTGTGTCGGATTATTGTAGCTTGTAGATGCTCTGTCGCCTGTGTTTGTCCCTGCCTCGCGTTCCTGTCTACCTAGCCATTTTGTGTATTATTGTTTCATCTTGCTTATTATGGACTGATTTGGATTCAGCCACTGTTTGTAATAGTGAGATTTTGTGAAGAAGAGAGTGAAGAAGGAGGAGTTTACAGTAATCTGAAACATGAAGTGGTGAGGCATGAATCTCTTTGAGACCAATAAGGGGGAAATAACATCAAATTCTTGAAATATTTCTCAACTGGAGGAATCTAGACTGAACCGCCCTCTTCGATTAAGTGATACAGAGGTCAGAATCAAGTAACTTCAAGTAACCTCAGTTCCTCACACTGCTGGTCAAACTTCAACTCTGTGGAGGTTTGATGGCATTAGGTGCATGAAAATAGAACAACTTCAAATTATTTTTAGCTAAGGAAATGCTGACACTTCAGAACATTAATAACTTCCAGACAGATGTTATTCATTCAAGTCAAGCAACAGTAACAGGACTGTTGTACTCCGTTTTTGGGAGATAGGGTACTATTTAAAAAGCCTATATCTGACTCAACTAACAGATTACAAAAAGATCATTTGTCTACTTAAGTCACTGCTGACGTTTTCAGGCCAGACATTAGCTCCAGCCTCACAATCCACAAGAATAAAAACAGACACTGAATATGTAGGCTGTTCATCACTTACCCCTACTAATACGAACAGTATCGTCAGTCTGGATCTAATTAGCCTTACAGCCTTACAGCCTTACTCATATAAAGCTCATGGCCACAGAAATCTACAAATTCATTTTCATACAAGTAAGCCACAGCATTTTCCCTTTAAAGAGAAAATCGTAAGAGCTGAATTCTTGTCCGGCTGATAACAACCTTCTCAAACAGCATTTATACAATCATGTGACACTTCAACTCACCCCTGGAATCCAAACTAATAGGGTTAAGTAGGCTGTTCAACTATGCTCTGCTACGCATTAGTTCTTTAAATGAACCATTACATTTACAAAAAAAATGTTTTGTGAACAATTAAAATATGCAATAAAAACTAACCCTTAATCCAGGATTGAATATCAAGAAGACGCAAGAAACAGACAACATGACTATGATAATAATGACATGATAATCATTGATATGGTCTAAATTTTCAGCATAACTTAATTATGGCCACCATTTTTTAAAACATTGGTGAACACAAGTCCTTGAAAATCATCCAAAGCAGGCGTGGGTTTCCTCTGTTTTCTGGTTTCCCACAGTAAAACTGAATAACTCTTTAATGTTTCCTCCCTATCCCCTTTTTCTTGTTATCATTCACCACTCCCTGGAAGTCTCACCTGTGACGTTCACAGAGTAGATGATGGTATCGGGGATTCTGTGCCAAACGTCCACCAAGCTGGCTGTGTGGATAACCACATCGACCCCACGGGAGGCCTCCAACACGCTGCTGTAGTCTGTGATGTCCCCTTGAATGCATACCACCTTTGTCCGCTCTGAAGGAGAAACAGGAAGACACAAAGTCAAAGCCACATAATCCTGGATCAGGCCTATTTTCCTACTACCTCTACAAAGGCATGCAACTAGATAACAAAGAACCCTGGCAAGAATTTACACACACTCATTTTACCAAAAGTTTGCAAAACTCCCTTTTGGATTCATTTGACCGACAACAGTGCCTTACTTCGACAACAACAATGTCAGTATTCTGGAAATTCAACTGAGAAACAATTATAAATTAAAAAGCCAATGGCAAGAGACTGTGTTTTTGTCTAACCCAGTTAATTGTGGTATATATCATCATGACACCAAAACCCTCCCTCAAACTAGACAAATTCTTGGTAGGATTTTATGATGTTTGTCTTTTAGGCACCAGTGTTTAGTGTAATCATGATTTATGAAGGTCCTGCCTCTTCAAATGCTGATGGATAAGTGAAGACAGAGTCCTATAGTGGACATGCAAAGGGACTGGACTTTTGAACATCGAGTCAGAGTCTGTTGCCAATCAGACACTCTTTCTGGAGTTTGCTTTCCCATCTGTAATTTTACTAATTCCAGATATATGTTTGATTACAGATGTTCTCATGAATTCAAATCAGCTTAAACATTAACCACATACACACACAAGTTGACATCCCATTTTCCTCAGGCTGTGAGGCCTATAATGGGTTTTACTGAGACCGAGCTCTGCTGTTACTGGTAGCTGATCTCTCAGGGGCCCAAACTGCACTGCATCAACAACGGGCCTCAGTCCACTCTGACAATAAATGATGAAAGCTGAACAAAGGTTTTTCCATTGTGGGATAGAGGCGTTATTTTGTGGTTGGTTGGGTGCATTCCTGACAGTGATGACGGAAAAGGCTTACTGTTGAATATCACTTCTTATAAAATGCTTTCTCATCTGGGAAAACAACCTACTTAACTGCTTTATTTCCTTAGTGTGTTTTTTTCCCAAGAATCAAAGACAAATAGCATGTGAACCACCCCAGGTGACGCCTGGTTCCACGGAAAACACAACACACCTACATCCCTTTTTCTTGTCACCCGCAGCTGCCAAATAAAAAGGGGAGCCAAATTTTACAAGGACAGGTTACAACATCTTTATCCTACAGGAAATGTAGGGGAGTTGGCTATCCTGGATTCACAGCCCAGCTGTCATCTCTGAAAATGGACCCAGTGACCACATGGTATGTGAGGAAAATGAATGTCAGGCTATGTCAGCCTCACAGTGACAAAGAATCCACTTGTAACCTACTTAATTGCCTCCTCTCATTATTTATTTAGGGATATTACACATATCATTTACACCCCTGGTGTTTCATTCAAACAGCTGGCAAGTGTTTGTTACTTCTGGCTATGGTCAAACAAACTTCCCTTCATCGGTTATAGAATTTTCAGTGAAGAAATGGGTGAGAAGGGAATCGTCACCTCAATTACCAGCTCCATAAGGTAACTCCATGATATACAAAATATAATATTCAGCAGGACTATTTATCTCAGTAAAACAGTTTTACATATAATGGGACTGAAAGAGAAATATTGCAATTATACCTAACAAAGATATGTAAATAGAAACTGTGTAGATGAACACTAAAAAATATTGACCATACACTACAAACATGTACGGAGTAAAAAGAAAAGTTCCATCAAGCCCCATAAAAAAAAACATTCATGTTTTTTTTGTGAGATTTCAAGATGGTAGAGGATCTTTCATGAGACACTGCGGTAGCCTATTACTCTTCAATCTGAAATAACGTTAGCCTAACAGCGGAAACTGAAAAGGTTTTAAAGCCAGAGCTCTATAGATCATATTAACGCCACACTGAAGTAAAGACTGGCCATATAAGTGTCTGCTGCCGAAACAGTATAAGTATTTTAAACAGAAAACAACATAGTAAGCTATAGCGATTGTCGAAACATCAGCTCGTCTTACCTGTGCCGATTCCATTTAAACTTGGGTCAATATGTTTGTCAAACACCCGCACCTCCTCCAGGTCGTCCTCCTTCTCCAGCAAAAGCCTCAGTAGGTGCTTGCCGAGAAATCCGGAACCTCCGGTGATCAGATATACGAGACCCCGCTGGTTTTCAGACATGCTGTAGGATATGGTGCAGCGACAGCTGTGGACCTGCTGTTTCTGCACGTCTCTCTTTGAATATGCTGCGCACTGCAAGCCAAGGCATTAAGAAGAGGAGGGCGGGCGGGCGGGTGCGTGCGTGCGTGCGTGCGTGCATGTGTGACCAAAGGTTTGTGTGTGAGTCATCGTCTTTAAAGTACACTTTAAAATGATAAAAAAAAAATCTTTTTATGTGTTTGCAAGTGAGACTGAGCAGCACTCACTGGGATAAATGCGCTATTATGGATTTATTAACACATCTACTGCGATAAGGATCTAATAATAGTGGGTGTGCACATGAGGTTGGTATGTACTTGAAACTACATTTGCAGTGTATTTGCAGATCCTACTCCAAATGCCACAATTTAATCGGGTTATCTTTTCTATTGTTCGCACCAGAGAATATATTCTCTGTAATATATTACAACTAAATCACTCCTCTTGTTGTGATAAAGATTAGGCCCTACATGCAGATGCGACCATTGGAGGGGTGCCCACCCAGGCTTTGAGGCAGTGACTCTTAAACCATGTTCCGCAAACCATATGGGCTATGGCAAATATCTGCTAAGAGCCATTAATGAACAGGTCAGCTGTAGGAAGAAAGAATGATTATTTGTCACCGTTTGTCAGATATATGCCCACGCCTCAACTGCTAGAAACACATGTACCTAATACCTTTTGTATTTCTTTTCATCTTTACTTTAACTAGTAAAAACTTTACTAGTTTCTCCATATCATCTTAACTAGCATGATATGGAGAAAAAAATATTTAATTCACTGCATTGCTGAAAAGGCTATGGCTTCTACCGTCAACTTAATTCTTAATGCATGTTCCTCAAGGAAAGAGTTGATATTGTGAATCAGTCAACACTCCTTAAACATCAACATGACAATTTTGACTATTCTGTTTTTTTTTATTGTCTCTCTTGTATGACATATGCCAAAGTGATGGCTGGATTTTCAAGCACTTGTATATGTAAATATAGTTTTAAAAAAACAAATATTTGCTATTTTTAGTACATCATAGATCGTGTTTAGACAACACCTGTGGTTTAAAAATATGGGATGCCATACATACAACATAAAATACAGTAATACATCTATAGCATTGATTCAGCTCAATTTGGCATTGTCTCTAATTAGCATACATTTCACCTTATTATAAGTCCACGATGTTCAGAGATAAAAAAAAACCAACATGCAGCATCTGAAAGCCATTTTTTAGTTTTTGTCAGTCCATGCATTATTGTAAATGACTGGCCGCTGATTTTCACTAGGTCAGCCTACACTGAAAGTTCTTTATACATTTGTCTGATATTATCCCTGGGTTTTGGAAGAATAAATCTATCTGCTAGTTCATGGTTTATTAAATTAAATTAAATTAAAGCCTATAATATATAATAATTATTAAAAGTCTGAGACTGTGGGCTTCCCCTCAAACAAAGCTTGGAAAAAGGCCCACACTCACCCCCTTCCCCTTAGTTTACTTGCTTAGTTTTGCTCAATTCCAGGATGCCTGTTGGATCGTGCTATTTGACATAACTTTAGACTTTACCAAATACATAAAAAAGAGGAATGTCCGAAGGCATTTATTAGTTTCTGACACTGGGAAAGCGGAAAAAACATTAAAATTCCCCCAACCACTGAATCACTAAACTCTCTTTAACCAAAACACATACATTAAGGCGGTTCTATGTGCTCTCCTTTTGATTACTAATATTATTTCACTTCCATTCAGTAAGCCTTGAAACTTTTTGGCCTAAAACGTCTGTGCTAGTTGGACTAAATTAATATGGACATATACTGATATAAAACAGTTTATCTTGTCAGTCCTTGAACTGTGGCCGATTTCTCTGTTAAGGCCATTACACACTCTGATTGGAAGGCCACACAGTATCTGAGGAAAAGTGGTCAAAGGTCTGTCCTTGTTTTTACTCTGTCATTTAAAAAGGAAGCAGGCCAACAGGGAGCACATTTTGAAAATATGTGAGCTAATGGAAGACATGGGACAGGTTAGAGAGTGACAGGCAACCAGGTTGAACCACTGTAAGTTGGTTGGGTGGTTGAATGGATGGAGGACATGGGAAGCAGGCTATAGGTTGAGCCCTTAATGGGGTTTTAAAATAGTTTATTTGTGTGCTGAACAAAGGAAGACAAAACAAGCTAATCAAATGCAGTACATAAGTTTTATAAATCATTGACTCAGTAAAGGCATTAATAATGGAGCTCATGTGCATGAGAACGTGATGCCAAACACTCTGATTGGAAGGCCACACAGTATCTGAGGAAAAGTGGTCAAAGGTCTGTCCTTGTTTTTACTCTGTCATTTAAAAAGGAAGCAGGCCAACAGGGAGCACATTTTGAAAATATGTGAGCTAATGGAAGACATGGGACAGGTTAGAGAGTGACAGGCAACCAGGTTGAACCACTGTAAGTTGGTTGGGTGGTTGAATGGATGGAGGACACGGGAAGCAGGGTATAGGTTGAGCCCTTATTGGGGTTTTAAAATAGTTTATTTGTGTGCTGAACAAAGGAAGACAAAACAAGCTAATCAAATGTAGTACATAAGTTTTATAAATCACTGACTCAGTAAAGGCATTAATAATGGAGCTCATGTGCATGAGAACGTGATGCCAAAGCGTTTCTCAACTAATTGGTCCAATTTGATGGTAAAGGGCCCGAAGCAGATACCACCAGAAAGGTGGTTTGTAAAACTGTAAGCGAGCTGGAGTCAATTCCGTCATCCTAGGTGCTGCATGCCACCTGCAGCCTTCATGGCATTGAAACTGGTGCTTCTGGGCAGCCCAAAATCTAGCATCTCCTCTGTGGTTCACCGTAAACCCTCCACCTGCCTGGATGTAAGAGATCTTCATCCACACTATTCATAATGAGTTTGGTGAGGTCTTGACAAAGTGGGCCTCCTACCATCATGTAAGTAGGAGGCCCATGAGATGGATGTGGGGCTCCTAGAAAGTGAGAGAGGTCGACTATGCCTGGCAAAGCTTTCATGAAGATCATGAGGGACAACCTTCTCAGGTGAGGATGCTGCCCCTGAAGCATCTTCACTAGACAAGGATGCCAGACTTTTCACGGTGAACTTGTTGGTGATCTGGAATTTCTCACCATTCTGTCCTGCAGGAGAAACTGGAAAAGGACACATGTGCTCCCTTTACTTGGTTTACCTTTTGCCTGATAGTCCAGAGAGATTAGACTTCTGGGATTCCTTGAAGCTCCAAATGATGGGCAGTGGCTAGTAGGACTATCGTTTGATTGGAAGAGTCATCTAGTAACCCTGGCAACCTTTAGCAGGACTCTCAGCGACCAATTTAGCTGGCCAAGGTAAACCATCATGGCCGGGCATTGGACCACCAGAAACTTATAATAATAATAATAATTTAGCTGACGAAAGTCCAAAAGGATATACAATTGCTATGGAGTATGCCAAGGGTCACAGGAGCAACTAGGGGGTAAGTGTCTTAGTCAGGGACACATGGGTGGATGTCGCAGTGGGAATCAAACCCAGGTATCCCACACCAAAGGCATGTGTCTTATCCACTGCACCATCACCTATTGTTGTAGTCAAGACCAAGACAGAGGGAGTGCGAGACTGAGTCAAGACCAAGACCAGTTCCCCACATTACATGACACACACTAAAATGTGGAACGAAATCATAGGTACTTCTCAAATTGATCTGAAAGATCCTCTTTCAAGTTATATTAGATCATTCCAACGTGCCCTCCCAGAGGCAATGTCAAATGATTGGCCGAGATACATGTGACTATTACTTAGCTGTTGTTTCAGAAGAATGCTGTTTGTTTGTTGTTGTTTCTGAAGCTAAATGCTTAGCAAGCAAATATTTTCAAATTAGCGCTAAACACAAAGTACATGTGAGACTGATGAGAATGTCAGTGGTTCTGAAGGTAGTATGAATAAGACAAACAGAAAACTGGACCTGATGGAGTAAGATAAAGGGTTAGGGGATCAACATTTTAACAGCTCATCCTCAGGGGTACATGAATGTTGTCTAAACAAAATTAAATGGCAACCAAAGAGATAATTGCTGAGCTATTTCAGTCTGGACTCTGAATCAAAGTGGTGGACCGTCAGACAGACAGACAGACATCCCTAGAGCAAAGAAAATATCTAAAACTCAGATAATGTGCAAAAAGTCAGTTTCGATGGTATACATATATATCGTCTATATATATATATATATATCATTTCTTTTTTAACAGACCACACAAATGCCATTTCCAGTTTCAGCCAGCCTCCTTGTGACTCATTGGAAAGTCATCAATTGCATTTCCTCACAAACAAGTAGTAGTTCCAGGTCATGAGCTCAGTTCAGTTTTGGTTAACAAAAAATACTCGTATGTGTACCTGATTTTAACTGAATAATGTGTTTAACAGAGCAAAAACTTGGCAGATGTAGAGATCTTTCAACTCAGGTCTCCATCTGTGCTGTGAGCTCTCCTTTTCCTGGTATCATCTGCAGACTTGTGAAATCTAGTCTTTGTAGACACGATTTCAGTGCTTCCTCTGATGTTTATCTAAACAGGAAATATCAGCGTTGCAGGTGCAGTGTAGCAGCCGATTTCAACTCTGTCAAGAGGAAATAGGACGTTTCCTGTTGAAACATTGCTTTGTATCAGCTAGTTATTTATATGTACCGGTTATCCAGCATGTAAAAATAAATCCGTTAAGATCCTTTAAACAGATTAATAGTCATCCACATAATCCTACATTATATACACAAAAAAACACGAGGCTTTCATTTATTTAAAAAATATTTTAATGCACCATTAATAAAGGGTCCAACGCATTAATACAAGAGAAATATTGCAAATAATATTAAAATAATCATCAAATTAAAAGGAAAAACAATAAAAAATAAATGAATGGAAGGTATGTACATGTTTCCTCCTCATGGAGAGAGGAAAAGGAACAACATATTTACAGCTTGAAATCAGTGTGTTTCTACGAGAAACAAACACCTCTACAATATTTACATGTACTTCTTTGATTTTTTTTTTTTCCTTTCATCTTTTTATCCT